TTCTTTTTCTCCAACCGCGTATCTACACCAGACAGACGGACTTGCTGGATTTCATGCTGGCGGTCTCTTGACACGTTAAGCGTAGCGTGTCTTGAGCCGACATGGAAGATGCTTACATAGGAGTGTGGTTACGAGTATCTGAGGACGCGGCAGCCCCGGCTATTTTGGGGCAGCACGAAAGCGAAATACAAAACGTAAATGGCCATTTTTCGGAGCATTGGCTCGTTCACTTGGGTTGAAATTCGTGTTTCTCAGCATCCGGAGAACGTTGACTATACATGGTGAGTAACAACATAGTGCTTGCTTGTGCCATTTTCTGGCTTCAGCTCTCCCAGCACTGTGCACACTCACGGACGGATACAGACAATTGTGGTGAACATGTCTCTTCCCGATATTCTAGAAGCTCCGTCAGCCAATCCAAACCTTCCGGTTGCATTATCAGCAGTAAATATAACAACATACCAACCACCTCGCAGAGAAATATGCATTCTAACAGACGCTCTTCAGTAGGGACAAGGCCACCGAAATGTAAGGCAACCGACCGATAAAGCCATTGTCATGATGCGGAAAGTGGCGTCTGCTACTAGATCATCGATGTGGTGCAGAACTCGCGATTGCATGCCGTCACTTATCTTAGCTCGATCGGCGGCGTCGCCAAGCCCGCTCTGTTGCAACGTCGGAGCATTTTGCTCTGTGGTCCAAGTCGAGATCTTGTTGTTCACTTAGCTCGCTCCCAGCAGACTGGGAAGCCTCCGACATCCGGGTTTTTGTCTGTCATAAAACGGTCTAGCGCTGTGCTAGTTCTTCCACTATGTCAAGCATGGAAGATCCGCATGTATATGACGATTGGCGGGTTGAGTTACACGTCATTTACGTTGACAGGCGATTGCGATAATGACAAACAGTTCGAGATGAACTATAAACCCAGATTGGTCGAGAAGTTAGGAGTCTGGTCTCCAAGGGTCACACCTGGCTCCGTGCAAGTGAGGTTGAAAAAGGCCGAAAGTATTCGGTCACTTGGAGGACAAAGACACTGACTCTGTTTGTTGTCCTTCTTTTTGTTGGAATATCAGTGGAATCATACTATTCCTCAGATTGAGAATACTCAGTGATGACTAAATGAGATGTTCGATGTATCATCTCATTTTTACTCACCCTGGCTGCCATTTTGACTATAATATTATAGCAGGACTTTCTTGTTTCGAAGATGATTGGCCAACTCTCACTCAACCGCGTCTTGGCTAGGAGACAGCTGTGACGAGGGAGCAGATGAATCACTACAAGTCGATTGGTCCACCAGCAATACGGTTCGTCTCGTCTACGTTTTTCACCTACTCTCCCGCACAGAGACGACGATGAATTCGTTTGAGAAGGAATTGGTCACACAGAGGAAACCATCGTAGCTCACATGGGTGAGGCCGCATGCTGGGTACCAATGTTTTGGAAAATGTAACGATGGGGGTGGGCGTGTTTGCAAGGTTTGCAACTTTGCACATGATCCATCACAATCACAGACTTTAGGCCCACCCCCCTGACAGTCGCGCAAAAATTCCGGGCACGTCTCTACCGTTCCAAATGGCGGGCGACGACGTATGGTGTCTCTTGAATAACGTTACTCGACGACTTTATCAAGAAGCAGAAACTGTTCGTGGACGCAGAAGAGCCAAGCAGCCTTTCTATTAGCTGAAAGTGGGAGTGTACCGGAAGTCTGCTTCTTTCCACCCCGGAACCGTGGTATGCCGGAATAGCCTGTCTCAGTATTCCATAAACTGAGCATCTGCAAGGTGACCGCCATGACAATCAACAGCCGTGTTTGTGAACAAGTCCCTCGAAACTATTCCGTACAAAGGAAACAGAATCAGCGGCCCAGAAGCCGGCCGAACCATGGCCGAACGCCTTCAACGGCAGTCCACGGGTGACCCTAGCACTTTAGGTTACTTCAATAGCAAGATAGCACTAAACCTCGATAGTCCTGCCGCTGACAGATGCGCTTGCTCTGACTTGAAACGAATATACTACAAGTTTTACCCAGAAACCCTCCCATCACGGCATGCTCGAAAGGAATCTTGGTTCTCTGACAGAACCAAAAGCGCATACAACAAGTAATTGACAGTCGGACTGGCATGGTTTGCCTCAATCTTCACATTAGCATTATTTCATCGGTCCATCCAAGACTGCCCACGAGCCAGGCCTTCATGGGATAGAAGGCGCGGCAGTGCAACAACCCTGGCAGATGCTCCCCGCCAGGATTCAGCAGGAAGGGAGTGAATCAATAATGAATGGCTCCCCGGGAGAGTTGGGTCATTACCGCCTGTTCCGAGGTGTTAGGTCTTCTTGTATGGATGTCCGGAGCCATTCCTGGGGACGTCAAATGGATATCAAATGGCACCATCCAAAGGTAATTTCCCCACGGTATGCTGGCCATGGCCGCCATCCTTCCATACCCAGTTATTATGAGATTGATGGTATAGCACCTTGCCATTTCACGCCACATTATCCCAAGTCAAGCCATTGCTCAAAACAACACAAAAGGAAGTGGCCTATTATGCGGAGCTACCTATCTGTCGAGGCATGTCTAAACACTTGTTGTCCCATCCTGTCTCATACAGACCGAGAATACCGACGATACCACGCTGATAGGGCAAATAGGAGGCATATTTCCCAGCGCCAAATGTACTATCCTCGTTCCATCCGGGCATGGAACTCGGGACGTTGTTAGCGCCAAATAGTCGGCAACAATGCACGAACACGGCCAAATAACGTAACATAATCACCCGATTAGAAAACATTCGCAGTATATTTTGCTGAGTCCTATTGCGAGACCTGCGTTCAAGTCACCGCTGTCATCCTCCCACCTTGACCGGTTCATAGTCCTCTCAGACATGGTGCCAGACTGAATCCAAAGATTGAAAGGGAGGGCTGAACATGTATCAGATCTGGAGTGGAGCAAACTCACCTAATATCCTTAGTGAAGCCTTGTCTCGTTCTTCCTTCACGCACTTGGCTAGGCACTGCGTCCCTTCTCGTATTGGATTGGACTAGCAATGGGCTTCTTCTGAGGTGCTTGCAGCGCTGCAGCAGACAAGGCTTCTGATGTACAAGAGTGAGGATAATGCCAAGTGCCAGTTGACCACTCCTAGGCCCATGGACGTCCAACCTAGGTAGGATATCAAATCGGGCCGCCTTGTTAATCCCACATGTTGTATCGGAACTCCTGCCTACATTGGTATGTTGAACCGTGCAGCAGCGGGTCGTCGAGTAGTATGTATTCATCGACATACACAGGAACCGATACTGAATCACAAAGGCACACACGCCATGACACTCAATCAAGGTTTTGGCCTCTATTCATTGTGCTCCTGGCCACATCGTAGCTCTCGGTCACGATACTGGTCTAGCCATGCTTATACGGGCGGTCCCGCAAAATAGCGCAGAAACGTCGAGAAGGCTTGTGGGATCTGACAGTTAAGACATTCCGAACGCTAAGTAAAAGGCGGAAACCAGCGCCTCGGCGTCTTCTCTTTCGAAAGCCTCTTCAGTATTTTATGCGACCAAGGGTTACAACCACCCCTTGATTGCATGACGTAACCGAATCTTCTCAGTAATTGCTGAGTAAACTCCTGCAGCTGCAGCTGTAGAACCATAAAGCGGCCCTGTCCTTTAATATCTTCCCCTGTACATGTCCAACGAGTAAGAGCACTCAAGCCGATACCGACCACGTCCATTAGTTTGCTGGCTTGGAATTAAAAGCAAGGATCACCGCGGCTACTTCCGTGTACAGGACGGGAAGTACTCGGGACGAAATCGGTATCCTGATCCAGGGACGTATTACTCTGGGCCACTGGTGCCAAGGTTGTCTAAATATTTCGAACCAGAAATAGTACGGGGAGACCGGCGTCCAAGGTCTTCCCAGTCTCCCCCATGCTCACACATTGATAGACCGGGGACATGGTCCACAAGGATGGTAAATCTTGTGCAACTACCAAACAAAGCATCAGGGAATTATAAGCGGACTCCCGGGGCGGAGGGAGGCACCGAGACCAGGGACTCGGGATCGACCGAGCCGTCCATGGTGCAACCGAACGGTCCGGGATGGCAATGGATAGACCATTTTCTACTCTTCACGAGACAACCTCTAGACGCATGATGGGCATCCATTGGTTCTACAAGTACTGAGTACCGTTCTGCACACCCCCGGTGACACCAAACTTGAGCCAGCGATAATCTTCGGGAACCGCCATTTGGTCGGATCCGAGGGGCTGGGACTCGGAAATACTGCAAACTGCATTTGAAACAAAAACCTCTTTTTTACTTCTTGAGACTCTGTTCTTCGATGGGGGAGAGACAGGGAGCGGCACGCCGTGTTCCATTTACAGCCTATATTCCCGTTTTGAGATGTCGCCGAGGGCGCAGGGGTGATCTGTGGTTGTTGTGCAATGAAAAGCAAAGGAAACAGGGGGGGAAAGACAACCATCTCTTCCAGACGTTCTCGCAGCTGAAAGTGCTAGCGGGACGGAAATTGCGATTACTATTCAATGTGCATAAGCTTGCCGGGGGCTCATAGTTTAAGAATCCCTGCAAAAGACCGCTCTTTCAGAAAAACAAACCCTCTTTCAGCTCGTGAATCGGTTTATCCGTTTATGCACCAGCCTATGAAATGCAATGCGAAGCGAGGCAAATTGATGGCTGTCAAACTGTTCCCCAGCCTTTGTCTATCCGCCAAGTCCGGAACTTTCCCAAAAGAATGAACCGTTTAAAAGTAGACAAGGGGAAAAGCAAAAAGAAAGAAAAAAGAATAGAAGTGAAGTGAAGAGAAAGAAACGCCCAATATGTTGGTCTTGTTGGACTGCCTGGCGATCATATTGGATTAGAAGAGGTTGTGTGACTTTGTATATTTTCCCAGAAACTGTGCCGCCGGTGATGACGGGCTTCAAAAATAGTGACTCAGAATAAGGAGGTGTTTTAAATCGCACAAGGGTACACCGCCTCTTGTAAAAGACCTATGCAAGTGATTTCTCAATTTTGACGTATAGTGCACCACGGGGGATAGGAGCACCTTCCAGATCCATCAGCGGAATGAAGCGGTATCCCGAACGGAGGCGGTCGAGACGAATACATGCCCATGCCAGTACTGATGTGCTCATGCGGGAGTCGTCACCTATTCGGAAACTAATCAAAGTTAGATTTTGGTTCTAAGATAACGGTGGGAAGGTCTGTATATGCTATGGGGGAAGGGGATGAAGCAGCTTACCGGACGAAACTGAGCTCCGGAACAACCTTGGTTATGCCAGTAAATTCGAGGCGCCTTCTAGATTCGGGGAACTTGGGATTGTTCGTTGTTCCCGCACCTATTCGCTTCTTGTAGTCACTTTCGCTTATTTCCTTACCAGTGGCCAATTCAGATTTCTCTACATGAAGTGTGACTTTGACGTAGGGACGGATGGCGCTTCCGCTTCTTGGTTCATCCCCCGAATCGTCGCTTTCCGTGGGGATATCTTGACCGGCGAATATGGTGAAGCGGAGATCTAATGTAGATCCGGGCGTTGCATCGTCGTGGGATTCAGATGACTTATCGGAACTTTGGTAGCCCGGCGGTTTAAGAACCCAGCCCTTCTCATCTGCAAACATGCCCTCGTTGATCATCATGCCCGTATCTGTGTTTTGCCAGTTCATAGCAGCCATTTGTACTCCGCGTCTCCAAAACAGGCTGGGGTCGAGATTTGAACTGTCCCATCGCATCTTGTCGGGATACGCTCTCATGAAATAATTCTTGTTGTGTAAGAACACATCGCGCCGTTGTCTCTGATACAGCTCCAAGATACGCTTCTCGCTAATGGAGAAGATATGAGCTGGCCGCTTTGCCTCCTTCGCTTCAAAGGTCTTGAAATGTTCACTTCGCGTGTATACCGCCAAATCACCGAGGCTTCGGCATATGCGGCCCATGTTAACTTTGTCGTGGGATACACTTGGCGCGGCCGGAGCGGAGGCGGACTTTGCCGGAGGCATTTGTCGGGCGTTGTGGCATTCGTCGTTTTCTGTTGAGTTCGTATCTGAGTCTCCTGGGGCTGTGAGGAGACGGTCGGCTGTGCTCTCCCCCCAAGTTATTTGGGAAGAAACTTGCGTCATACTGTCTCCGTTGACTTGCGAGGTGGTCTGCGAAGTAGTTTGAGAGACAACTGGTGCTGTGCTGTCCACCGCATTTTGAGGGCTAACCGGCTCCATTGTGACGGTAGCTTTCTTCACTTTGATCAGAATTTTGCGTTTCAGGTCCTGCAATTTCGGAAGACGGAATCTTGGATCAAAATCTTCGTGTGCTTCGGTCACAAGAAGGTCTTGCCACTCCTCTTTCATAATCTTCACCATGACCTCTTGTTGTTCGTGATCGGCGTGAACTTCCAAACTGATAATGACTGGCAAGTCGTTGTTCTCAAACGCGGATTCCTTAATAGCCTTGCAAACTTCTCTAAATCCGCAGGGAACTGTCAAGGTGTGTCCATGGGTCACAATTGGCTCGCCTCTTGGGGGACTATAATGTCGAGGAGATCTCGAAGCCTGTGTCTGGGATACCTCTAGCTTATCATTCGACTGCTTCGTATCCGGCAAGTTTACGACGCTTATTTTTGAGGACGCTTCTTCCACCATAGTGCGGCTATGCGTGCTAGGGCTTCGTGAGTGAAGAGAAGCCCTTTCCCCTAAAAGATGGTTCGCCGCCGCCTTGACCCTTTGATCCACGTTCTCCAATGCAGCTGCAATAGCTACATTGGTCTGGGACGTCCTGGACGGACCTCTGCTGTGGCCTCGATGGGGCGATTTTGATCTTTCTCGACTTGGAGCAGGGTCTCCATTCCAGACATCAATTTCGATACAGCGGCAACCTCTCAATAGAACCTGAATTTGATATTGTCAGCTCAGGTATGTCCCGATATGTCAAACTAATCACGGTAAGACCAACGTTTCTGTAAGCTTCTGGAGTGCTGGTCGATGAGAGTTGATTACCATCCAGGTATGTATTGTGGCTGCTGTTGATGAAGTAATTGGTCAGAGGTTTTGAGAGGTCCTTCTCTGGAGGCTGCCCAATTGCATTGACGCCATAACCTTCTACCAACACATGGCGGAACTCTCCCGCGGTATACTGCTCCTTGTCGAGATTTTTAATAACGGGTTCGCATTGAACATCTCTGAGAAAGGCATAAAGCTTCTCTCGGGATAAAAATTTGTCATTCATCTTCAACCCGTCATATAGCTCGTCAATGACATCGTGGAATCTGTTGCCAATAGGTGCCTTGCCTCCGGCTGGACCACTAGGTGACAGTGGTGCTAATATATCGGGCGGAATAAACGTTGAGACTCCAACCAAGCTTCGCAGCGCTTCACGTGCATTCTTATTTGAGCTTCCGAAGATAGACATTGTTCGAGTTCGTTTGGGAACATCTGCATCATCGCGCTTGCGGCTTAGGAAACGGCGACGCTGGAAGACGGGGAAATCAGTCTGGGAAAAGGTCTCGAATCGCGGACAGATCTTCAGACGGCATTGTAACACAAATATAGGTGAAAATATTGAGACTTACGGCCGGAAACCCGCACAGAAAAGCCATTTCGACGGCACAAGCTGCGCTGCCTGTCCGCAAGTGAATGCGATAGCCAACAGTCGTGTCTGAAAGCTTGACACGAAGATAGCAAGCTGATGCCGAAGACGGCGCACCAGGCCCTAGCGGACTTGCGACAGGCAAACCATGCGCGATCGGTACACAAGTCGAAACACAAATCCCTAAACTCGGACGAAATGAGCAGCAATAGGCTCAAATACCGCTTGAAGTCCCAGAAAGATCAAAAACACAAGTCCTTGAGCTCACACACGTCACTGGATTTGAGACTTTGCTCGAAGCAAAGCTTGAAATGTTAGCAAGGCAGCGCAAGGGCGGACCGTCATAGAATCAAAAACCTACCGCCTCATTCACTATCTAGGTACCCAAGACTAGGCAGTACGCAGTGTAATATCCCATGGTGCTGACAACAGCCCAAAACTCGTGTTTACGCTGCTTGCTGGTGTGCTTGTCTCCCTGTCGTCTGTCAGCATCTGCAGGTTTCCACCACGCGCACCGCGCCTCACTGGGGGCAGAACCGGGGCAAAGTGCTTGACTGGTGGAGTGGCTTTAGTCCATGGATATGACAGCCCTATCAAAGTCGAAGAGGCATTTTGTAGTATTGAGCTCTTTGATTGGAGAGGCATTGAGGCTGTGACTCTGTGAGACACGGTTCTGGGACGGCGTAGGGAACCTGGTTGGTGCGGAGAGCGAAGATGGATGGATTAATGAAGGAAGGCCAGTGGCCCAGCAGACATCGAGGGATCAAGCGATAATAAGGCTGGAGTACTCCGTCATAAGTGGTCTGGTACGATAACGTTTTCGCATGAGTATGAGGCACAGAGACGGAGGATAAGACTGTGACATCCGCGACATCCAATGCCATCGCAGGCATGATGACGGGCATGAGTCGCCAATGTTTTGGGGGAATGAAGACTGGTGTCTTGCATTCTATCTGAGCAAGGGCCTGGGAAAAGGTGCTTCATGATACCGAGTAGTTGCTGAGTATTATCTGTCGTTTGGACAAGCACAGGCCGTTCAGAGTACTGAAGATTGAGCCAAGGCATTTTGGTCTCCCAAGGCAGGCGCGGCCCGCCCGATCCTGCAGGTACAGTCATAGGGCCATGGTTGAATGTTGCCTTAGCCAACAAGATACGTGCACACGCACCCCATAATGCCATCCTGAACAAATGCTCTCGCAACAAAAACAACAACGTCGTCTCGTCATCTGAGGAGCCATTCACGTCCACAATCCAGCTTGTTGTCCCAAACGCTAAGCACAACACTCTCCCCCTGCGTCGGCACTGTTTCTTGTGCGGCTGACCGCGGAACGGAGCGATGCGGCGGCGGCGCGCGTTCAAACCTTCATATCTGTCAAGTTAAACTGAATTGGGCTTCAAACCCTCTGGCCAAACCTCCTCGAGCCTGGCAGCCAACCCGGAAGAACGTGGGGCTATCCGTGACGAATCCTCTCTTGATTCACCGCCACCCCATAAAATAAGTCAATCAAATGCTCACGCTCCTTTGAAATCGAGGCCCTGCACTGCAAGACTCACATGTGCAAGCTACAGACGGCCATTCTCATCATCCCTTTGAATGCTTTAAGGTGCCACCTTTGTAACGGCCCCACTTTTTCTGCGATACCTAGCGGGTACCTTTTTGGCAACAAGGTCAGCCACTAAACCTTCGGGCTGCGATAAGTGCGATGTAGCTCTTTGTAAGCAGGGAGATTACTGGTACTTATACCATCATACTATTTCTTAGTGGGGTTATGTATCTTTCATATTAAGGTTTTTTATTGGTTGACATCCTTGTTCGGTACGAAGGTGGCACCTTAAAGCATTCAAAGGGATGGGGCGGAAACACGAGACGCAAGTGCGTTCCTGGGGCTTCAGCCATGTCTTTACTTGGAGCGATGGACCGTAAGTCGAACCAGTTGCTGGACGAGATTGCTGCTTTTCCACGGCTTGTCACACAGGCCCTGCAGCGTTACCCGAAGGGTGGATAGACTCTTGGATGCAGGGACTGACGTCATACTGCGACAGCAACGCTCATTATCCTCCTCACTCTCACTCTGGGCTGACAACTCATCTCGTCGTCGCCGGCGAGATGACACTGTGGTACCCAAATGAGCCCGACAGGGAGAAGAAGACGTATGGTGCTGGGTCTAGAGTAGATGTTGATGCTGGTAGGGTCCATGAAGTTTGGATGGGAGAGCAAGGCTGTACGTATGTTATTGGGGAGTAGCTTTGTATCGGGTTCTGGACTTGTGCTCTGGGTTGAGGCAAAACGCGCAATGCCTTCCTATTCACATGCCTATAATTATTGTAATAACGGAAACGAAAGGCTTCTCTCTTCAAGAGGCAGCGATGCGACGCCTGTGTCCCATGCAGTAGATGCTCAAGGGAGCATCCATTGGGCGAGTCATCACTTGCATAATGGATTCCAATCTGACTGTGTAGCAAGCTGAAAATGAATCCATCAGTTTGGTTCAACGAGACAACTGTTGAAAAAGATTCGCGTTCTGTTCATGTGCCCGACTGTATCTCAGGTCAGGCGCAGCATCCCACTAAATCGTCATTTCAGTTGCACTCATTGGCATGAATTATATCCTCGCAGCAAATCGTCGCTTCTTTCCCGATTCAGTCGAACTGGAAGACTATACCCGGGTCACGCACTATTTCAGCTTCAATATTCAGGAGGTTGCCTACGTCATCTGATACATTTCTTCAAGGCCGCCAGTTACGACGCACGGCTGGCCATTGAGAGAAATCTCGGCAAAAGTTGCACAAAATATACACATTCTCCCAAGCCAAGAACACAATACTCGGTAGCTGGTGCATACGAAAACTTCTTGTCTAATACGAACACGCCTTCTATTCGACATGGCATTCATGTACTAAATTGGTAGCCGAAGCAGCAATACAAATTACCTTCGAGGAAATCTAAACACGCCCGAGAAAGTCCATTTTCACTTTTAGTTATCATCATCAACTCTGTCAGCCGAAGAAGATGCCAGCGAATACTCCAGAGTCGGCACAAACGTCCCCAATGCAAACTTGCCAAGTTCCCATCTCCTGCGACACCATCCGATTCACCGGCTGCAAAAGTCCTGCTTCCTATTGCGGTCGACGCACCCTTCATCATGCCAATCATCCCCCCCTTTCGTAGATCGCGGACTGAAGAAAGGCCGCGCAGGCCGTATCTACAGGCACCCGGAACTCTCTTAACCATCGCACAGAGTCCGTATGTTGTTGGACTCACCCCACGGATCGAACTATCTCAATGCTTTTTCTTCTGTTCCACATACTAGAAGATGCTGTATTCGGTACCATGTTAGGATACAGATGTTTCTTGTCGCTGTAATGTAGTCATTTTGTTGGTGTGAATCATTTCCCAGTGTATCCCAATACCTGAGAAGGAGCATAGCCTCAATTACTCCAATCTACATTCCCCTGTGTAAGGGAAGGATTCAGCAATCTAAGTGTTGCATCAGGTTCGCAGATCCCCCTAAACAAGGCAAGGCAACGTGCGGTCACACTGCAAGAAAATAGGTCCATGCTGCCAACTAAGTTTTCAATGGGCCCCAGATAGCTCATAAATGCCTCCACTGCTATGTCATCTGTTTCTTTCTAGTTATATAAACAACTCTGCTTAATGGCATCTCTTCGCTTCACGTTGTGCCGTGGTCCTAGCCTCCGCCTCGCAAAAACGACTCCAAGCGCAAAGACAATCAACACAGCAGAGGCGAGTAGTAACTAATAGAGTATCCCACAGGAGAGACTTGTATTAGCTTACTCTCAGCGTATTTTCTGTCAATGCGGCATATTCTTGTGCGTCTCACTCTACCACCATCTAGGGTCCCAAGCACAGAGTTCACTGCTGCACAGCCAGATGACCAGGAATGAGGTACCACGGAGCTGGCAACGTATTTTTCTCCCAACCAAATCCTCGATGGTGAAGTCACTGTGGCTCTCAGAAGTTTTGGGCTTGGTCACATCGCAAAACGATTCGAGTCAGTGTGCCAAGTACGGAATACTGCATCTACGATGCGGTCAAGCGGACGCGCTGCACGACATTGAGGTACGGAAGATGGCCAGACAGACCCTCTCTGGATCTTGAAAGGTATGATCCGGGTGAAAATGGCTCGTAAACCACAGCCTGCTATCGGGGCCGTCCAATATCAAGGTATTAGTCTAACTACACATGGGCCAGCTCCCCGGTCCTTTATGGCAAAGGACCAGTGGAATAATAATATGTCGCAAGACCATGAAGAAAGCTTATGTTCCTTTCTCCCACCGCCATTATCCATTTACTCGTTGCAGGGATTAGCGGCGACTTTCGGCATGGGCTCCGTCCGCCTTTTCTAGACAAGAAACGCGAACCTGGCTCCAAAAGGGGTCCACCATCACCGCAAGCACGATGGGGTGATGTAATGATGATACGCCCCTCAAGAATAACTTCTCTCATGTGATAATTGTCAAGAGAGACTGTGAAAGTTATCACACGCCTTGTCTCTTTGGCGGTAAATCGCGAGAGGCCTCCTTCTCGCCTTTCCAGATCGCCAATTGCTTAGGTGGTGGTTGCTGCGCCGTGTCAGCCACCAACTTCCTCGTGTGCGTGATCACGACCAAGAATGCTACTTCTCAGTGCGACCAGCCTATAATACAGCCTCGTGCCCGTCAATAACCGTCCTGCTTCCAAGATTGTGTGTATACCGAAATACCGTGGCCTCACAATACCATACTATCGTGATGTAAATGCCAAACACGTTCGATCTTATACTTCGACAATACGAGATTAGGTGTTTCGCTACCAGTACTAGCGTCATCAAGGGAAAACTTTAAACTTTAGAGTCGTGTGACGATGTTGGCAAGGTTACCCGTGTTCCCAATGCCACTAGTGAGGCCAGTCACTGCCGAGGCGAGCAGGCCTTATCTGAAACCAACCGTTCGTGAGGGTCTGTCTGTGGTGCAAGGCGGTCAAGGCCGACGATGACGATGTTTCCATCCATGGCGATACAGGTAGCATCCATCCCGAGCATCCCTCCCTCCCGCGTACTGGGCTGTGGCAACGTGCATGTATTGGCTGTCGGCGCGGCTGTCTTCGTATCGCGGTATGTGGCGCAAATCAAAACTCTGTGGCATTTGACCTAGGTGTGCAGCAGCAACTCCCTAGCCTGCAGCTCCTAAGCAACTTGGCAAGACGAGGATTGTATAATCGATTGGCAAGAAGTCTTTGTTTTCCTCTCTCGCTCAATCGCGGCTCGAGTGCATGTACGTACAAACGGAGTAGTATAGTGGTATTCGCATCTCGACGGCACGGTGCCACCCAGGATGGAGCCGATCGATGTGTGGTGATGGACATTTCACTATCCTGGCCGCGTGGGGAACCAAGGCCACAAACGCCGGGACCCGGAGTCCGACCCATGTCAAGTCACAAGTGTGACTTCGAGAGGCCGTTTCATATTGCGGTATGAATGGCCAGAGCGCGAGGCTCAGCCGTGGACCACGACCCCAGAACCCGTCGACGGAACCTATATTGCAATTTGGCCATGGCCTCCTCCATCTTTGTTTCGGAGTCATGCCATGGATGACCTGAATTCGAAGACTCTTCCTGGCTATTTCCATGGTGCAATCGCTTGCTCGCGTCGAGCACGGGCCTCCCTTGGCCCCCTCCCTTGCCTCCTCCTCCCCACATCTCGCGATGCTCTGCAAACATTTGTGTAGCCTTTGACAACCGTCCAAGGTGGCCAATGTCTTGCATCTTCTTTCGAGAGACAGCACAGCTGGCGTTGTTGCTGTGGCAAGGGGGCAGCCAGCCCTGCCGGCTTCGTATGGTTGTGGTTCGTGTCTCAGACAGCCATCATCCGTCGCCAGGCGCGACTACGACCACATTTGCCGCTTGGCTTTTGGGGCTGACGGCGCCTCGCCCTCCAGGGCCGTTTGGAGCCAAAACCGTTGTTTATCTGCTTCAGGCGAAACAACGCCGCCAAACGCCTTGTCCAGCTGGGCCATCTGCCATGTCCGTCCACGTCTCCACCAACTTCTGGTGGCGCCTCTCTTCTCCGTATCGAGCAAACAAGGTCGTGGTTTTGGTCTTCTTGGATAGTAGCCAGGTATGTACATGCTGCAACTTACAGCCGGCCAGCCACCACCAGGGCTGGCCTTATTGGACGCTCGAGGATTTCGTCCGTATGCTGACCTGCCTTGGTTATTAGACTTCTCGTCTTCTTCCGTCCTCCCGATGGGGATCCCCTCTCTCCTGGTTCTAAACACGACCATCAGAAACCTTGATGCTCACGGACGGTCCCTCTTGATCCGTAGTAATATTAACCTGCCTCCACACGACTAGCTTTAACTGTCGTCCTTGGCACTGGCTTCCTTGCTTTTGAACTACATACATCTCATACCATCTCATACATGTTCTTCCTGCTTCGACATATCGTATGCTTCCTTTTTCCTCTCCAGTAGTTCCTGGGCCTGGCCTGCTGCATTATATGACCGTTCCACGCCGGCCTCTCCCGGCATCTGGGACCTATGTTGTTCGATCGCAGACGAACTCGGGCGGAATCCGGGGCCCATGACAATGACATTGGTCGCGTCGCGTTTCCCGATCGATCCTCCTCACTCAGTCCGTACATGTCGTCCCAGAAGAAACGGCAGGCGGCTTCGCGGCCGTATCCCCAGCCTGATGTTGGAGGCTCGGCGTCTGGAGGTTACCAAAATAGACTCGCTAACCAAAACGACATTGAGTCTGGCCTCCGGAAACACCCCTTCTACACCCATGATGTCTCTTCTCCTCAGGATCCGAACCGTTATTCTCGCATACATATTGGGCCAGAGTATGCGAATGCGAGTCTAACAGTCCAAACACAGTCGCAGGACATCAAAGGGCACGAACCAGGCAACTTGGCAATACGCAGACATAAGCCTGAACTTCAATTGCAGAGCTCGACCGCATCAGCACCACACAAATCGTCGACTCCTGCTGTTAGAAGGCGTAGACCTGAACTCTCATTACAAAATTCGACTTTATCAACACCGTACAATGCGACGCCCGCCGTTTTCGGGAAAACACACGTTACCGATAATGTTCGTGCAGCAGATATTCCTAGGCGCAAGTCAATACGCAAGTCAGCTATAGTCGGTGCCTCGAGCACAAGTAGTCTTGCTAACCCACCATCACTGCAGAAAGTCGAGTAAGTTTTGAATCCGTATCAAAAACTTGAGGGACACGTTTCTCACACATGTTTGACAGCGCGGGCAGCCAAGGACGACGAAACACATCAGTAAAGCCTGGCTTCGTCAAGTTGGGTCTGATGCCACTCTCTCCATTGAATCTCGGCCTTGTTGACCAGCGCCAAACTTCTACTCCCGCCAGTACATCCGATCGTCATGCTTCTCGCGACCCTGGCTTTTCTTCTCGCTCAACTCTACCCCAGTCATCCGGCGAACGGCCAGTGTCTGCAGTTGGTGATGCTAGGCCGGCCCTATCATACATACCAATGCGTCGACGTTCATTAGTTCAGACTCCTGGTCTCGCGACAAGGACGCCATCTCGTTATAAGCTGCCTGGGGGCCGTAATAGCTTCAGATCTTCGACATCGCTTGCATCTGTTCTGGCTAGTGCAGCATCAACAGGTGCCGAAGTGCACAAAGACGCTGGGAGTGAGGGTAAACGAAAGATTCAAAAGCACATGTCGTTACCTGATCTGCAAATGAAGGCGGAACAAGAGCGATCCGGCAAACCCAGCCGGTCCGAATATCAGCAGCTTGGCGGTTTGAAGCTGGGGACACTCCGTATTACAAATTTTTCTTCGGTCCCAAGATGTATGCGCGATAGTAACGGAGGAAAGCAAACCCAATCCACAACGACGAAGTCGAAGAATGGCATCGGAGCTCGAAATGCGGGTTTCCGTCTTAGCTCCCAGGGTGTATCAAATCTCTCTACTCCTACGCTCTCAACAACAATCAATGCCACAAAGAATGGCACAAAAGACCATCTCAACGGTAACTCGTCCGTTTCATTTGGTTCTAAACGCCATAGGCGTTTCTCTTTCGGTGACACGCCAGGGGTTGCGTCTAGCAGAAAGCGTCTGTCAATTCTCAGGGAGCTCATAGAGGAGCCTCTTGAAGATTATGATTTTATGCGCGAAGTTTCGTCATCACATCCTCAAGCAATGAAAGACGACTCATGCAATCAAAATGAAAGCCAAATAGGCCCCACACAGGATGACGCGGCGTTGAAACATTTCGCGGACGAAATTCTTGACACCAGCGATGATTCGAGCGCGAATCGTGTCTCGGAGAGCTCAGAGGTTAAGCCCGCAAATGAAGTTGATCCATACGATATATCTAGGCCGGACAGCGGCTTTGTATCGGCCACTTCTTCTCTCAGTTCCCCAGGCTCACCTTCGCAGACGGATAGCGGTTATAGCTCCACTACCTCAATTCAATCAAAACCTGCAGTTGTAGATTCTGGAGTTGCTGATAAGACAACTCCTGAAGGCTTATCGGGACGCGGCGCAAATCATATGGGTGACGATAAGGACGGAACTGTTGGTCATGAGACTGAAGACGATTCGACCAATAACCCTTCCCGAGATTCGGTCACCTCGCTGTCAAGAAGCAGTTTACGGCTTTTGTCGTCTCTGATACGACCCCGGCATAGCCTTTTGGTTTCAGGGTCTGGCGATGATGATAGTCAAGTGGATCAAAACGAATCAAACAGCCATAACGATACTTCACAGTCCAAAAGCAGCTCTGTGAGTCAAGACGGTACCGTTCAACCGAGGGTTAGATCAAACAGCGGTAGCCAATTGGCCGGGAAGCTACAGCGGTTGTTCGCACATCACAAAGAAGATGACTTGTCTACCGGATATGGTTCGCATGACCTCCAGGCGGTCCCCACGGTACCAGTAGACGTCGAAGAACGACTCAGCGAGCATAACAGAGTATTTCCAACCTCGCCCAAGAAGCTTACCAAACATTCTAGCCGGAGCACTGAATCACTGAAAACAATCGTCAGCGTCGACAGCGCCATCGCGTATAGTGAAAGCAATTATAGCCAGGATGACCGTGACCATGACGATAATATCAGTCATTATGGTCACAGCATCAAAAGTGGTACAACTTACAAGGGCCACAAGAGCATGAACAGCCTGGACAGCTTCAAAAGTTTGAATAGTCTTTCCAGTTCTGGGACTGTCAGAAGTCTCCCAAGTTCCGAAAGCGCTAAGAGCGACTCAACTATCGCAGGGGCGGATGACACCAAAATATTTCATATTGAGGCGCTGCTGGACGGATCTGACCTCGAGGTTGAAGATGGTGATACTCATCTGCAAAGGACTACGACTTCAGTTGCGATTCCAGCTGTCTTGCCCGCGACCGAGGACGCATTTATCGGCGAGAAACCTGTACCTCCTCCTCGAAATCCATCCCGCCCCAGGAGACAAATAGGTAATCACAAGGCCATACTTCAGACTAGCCGAAATGTCACTGAAAAGGCGGCTCCCTATGGAGCCTCCACTACGTTGCGAACCCAGGATAACCGGTTCATGAGAAGTGAACGTGCGATTCTCCCTGCCAGTCAAACGACGCGAACTCACATCAGCTCTGGGCTAGACACGTATAGGGCCAGGGCACCCGTCTCGGCGCCGAATCTTTCTAACTCATTCTCTTCCAACTCGGACGCTGCCGCAAAATCTGGACCAAGACTAACCGTTGCGGATATGACCAAAGAGCTGCCACCAGAGCCGCCGCGCGATGATCTCCTGCGCAGTTCATTCTCAAAACGACCGTGGCAGCAGAAGCGACTAGCTGAAAGGAAATGGCTACAGAATAACAATCAAGAGAGCGTCCGAAGTTATGAGTTTCATCATAATCACGTACGATCCCAGACGTCGACCGTCATGGGCCGAGAGCAGACTCAGGTAGTCCAGGACCATATCTCGGTATTCATGTCACAGCGTCGACACTCTACCTTAATCCACCGGCCGGCCTTTTCTGAATCTCTAGCAATTTCTTCCCTGGAGCGTCCAAAGGACGAGCCTCGGCCGCCTTACCGGGTCCTCCACAGCTATAATTCACCAGCATATAAAAACATTCCCATCTGGGCATAACTGCCACACTTGTCAGCCGTACGAGGATTGATACCATGGGCGATAATTGTCTTGAAGCCATCTCGTGAGGCAAAAACACCAAAAAAGGGGGAGGAATGTAGTAATTCTTCTTTCGCTTTTAATTATGTAATTATGAGTCTAATGTCACCAGGGTTTCCTCATTCATTCGTTTATTTATTGGCGCTTTTTTGTCTGAACGGTAGTTCAAGTGTAAGAGACGATGGGGGTTTCAGAAATCTCGCATGGGGGCAGCTGGCTAAAATACCCAAAATAGAGCATAGTTGATAGTCATAATTGGCGTTTTTTGAATGTACATATCCGTCACAATCGAGCAAGGCAGTCAGTCATACGTGGCCAATGTGAAGGTTGAAACACTGAGTGTGTTCCCTCCTTTGCCTGTCAAGGCCGTCATCATTCTCATGTATACATAAAAACAGTGCAGCTATGCCATGTAAAAAGGAACTAGTATGCGCCAGGACGCTTGGAATACGACGGCCCCGTGACGAGATGGACCTTGTTCCGCGAAGACTGGACGGGAGTCCCGGACCTCAGCGTGAACCCGGGCACCCTTGCGCCCGTGCCGTCCAACGACCACACCGCCAGCCCGACCCAATTGTCCCCGTTGTAGTCGAGGACGCCCTCGGGCACGGGGAACTCGGTCTGGGGCCCGATGTTGCTGAGATACTTGCCGAACTGGAACCCATTCACGTACAGCAGCGCCCTGTAGTCCCCGCGCCGCTGGGTGCCGTCGGCAAACACAAACGACAGCGGGATGTCGTAGCCGTCGGCCGGCAAGGCCAGCGGCATCCTGGCCGCGTAGTAGGCGACGCCGGCGCGGTCGACGCCGTCAAACGGCGAGCCCGGGGTGAAGAGGGCGTCCACGGGGGGGAAAGGGTAGTGGTAGCCCTGGCGCTCGAAGAAGAGGCCCCCCTCGTTGAGCGGCCCGCGGAACTCGTCGGCGTAGTCCTGGCCGCCGAGGTTGCCGGTGATTTTCCACGTCACGTCGGTCGGCGCGCCGTCCGGGGACGAGAGCGCGTAGTCGAGGATGCCGCGCGGCGCCTTCATGTCCTCGTAGCCCGGGTTGAAGTTCTCGTTGAAGCCCATGGTGTCGACCACCACGGTGACGACGTACCGCTCGCCGGCGGTCAGGCCGGGCAGGGCGTACGTGGAGTTGTGGTTCTCGGTGGCGTCGTCGCCCTTGAAGGACCCGAGGAAGCGGTCGTTGAGCCATGCCGAGCTGGCGTATGCTGTGCCGCCGGACGTCCACGCCCTGAAGAGGGACTCGTTGCCCGAGGCGGTGAAGTGGCCCCTGAAGACGAGGGTGCCCGTGTTGAATCCGTAGTCTGAGCCGTAGAGAGATGCGCGGGTGGGCGCCGCCAACAGGGTCGCGTTGGAGGCTCTGTGGTGCGCTTGCGGCCTGCTGTTGCCTGGGCTTTGGGAGGCGGTGCGCCAGCGGGAGTCGTCGTACTGGGGGTGAATTTCGGGCAGGGAGTCGACGGTGTGCCAGGTCAGGTTGGCGAGGGAGGGGAGTCGGAGGGTTGGGATGGTGATGTCCGGCTGGGCGAGCCACGTTCCTGTCGGGGAGGTGGTGTGCTTGAGCGGCCTGCCGTTGACGGAGAGCTTGGTGACGCCGTCGGGGACGCCGACGACCTCGAGGGCCGTCGAGGCGTTGAAGTCGGCGCGGAGGGAGAGCGTGTTGCCGCTGATGGACGCGGAGCGGATGAGGTAGCCCCCGTTGATGATGGCTGCGTCCGGGTTCATGAGCGATGTGCCGTATGGGGATGATTTGGGGCCCGGAAGCACGGGCACCCAGTAGTTGTATGCCGAGTTGCGATCTGTGTCTTGTGGTAAGAGGATGGAACTGCAGTTTTGGTGTCATGTACAAGTTCGTGATAGGAGTCGGCTTACCAACGAGGTAGATGGCCAAGTTGCCGACCTGAATATACTGCCTCTTTGGCGACGTCGTCCACTGCACGACAATAGTCGATAAATCCTGCCCGTGGGACGAGATGCTACTCCCCTCAACGTGCAGGACTTGTGTCGCTGGGGAGGGAGACTTCACCGCAAACTCATGCAATTCATCTGGGCCGCCGTACAACACCAAAACCGTCTTATTAGCATACTTCTTCCAGGTGAATACCTCGGCAGTGGTATACAGTAGAGTGTAGTCGCCCACGGGATAGTCCGTCAAATGGATCTTGGAATCACGCCCGTGCAGGGACAAGCTTCCTCCGCGCTGGGGGATGGTGAGGGTTCCATTGCTGGTAGGCAAGGTGACGGTGTAGGAGACGCTGCCCGTAGCGGTGTAGTCTGTCTGACGAGCGACGAAGAAGTTGCCCGTCTTATTAGACGTCAAGGGCGTGATGGTGATGCCCGGGTTGTTGGCGTACGCGGTGGTTGACGCGAGGCCAACGGACGCGGTGATGTATCCAGGCGATACTTTGATGAATTGGGCTTCGAGCTTGACCTCGGAATACTTCTCACGGTCTATGACTCTGTTTTCTCTGATACACTTTGAACGTTAGTACTTTGTAGGAAATGCTTGTGAAGAAGAAGAAACATACGGCACCGTAATCGTAGGACGTATAGCCGCCTGGGTGGCCGAGATTACCCCAGTTTGTTCCGCCGTATATCTACAGAGTCTTGTAAGTTCAAGGTTCTAGAGGCGGGTAAGAGGCAGCTTGGACTACCATGTAAATATTGAAAATCGACACACCGGCCGCCAGGTTGTTCTTATAAAAGACACGTGCGAATTCGTGGTTGACGAGGGCGGCGCACTTTTCGAATCCCCGGCCGCCCCAAGGATCAAATGCGCCACCTTGAAACTGACGCATTTCCCGTGAGCCTCTGCTTTTTGGAATTTTAACCGGCTTACATTTTGCGTTGCGTACGTACCTCGATGATGGAGTACGGGCTCGTCGGACTCTGCCTCTCGTGGAGTTGGTGAAAGTTTGTTGGAAGACCGTTCGGCGGCCAGACGGCAGGATTGGCCTGAAAATATCAGCTGGCCTTTTCCGCTTACTTCTCCCCAGACTTACACATGTCAACTTACGCAATCGAATCCTAGGGGGTAGCTGTCGTGTCCCTACCCAGGTTAGTCCGACGTCTCTATAATCTCCAACACCTTGGCTTCACTCTACGCCTACATAAATATCCATGCTTCCGACGCCCTTGCCAGGAGCATAATTCCCCGAGGGCCCAACGTCGTTGTTGATCATGGGGACCGAAATGCCCGCGCTCCTGGCCTGGTTGATGACGTACTGCATATACTGCCCGTTGGGAAAGGGGATGTTGTGCCCTGAAGAATATTCGTTCTCGGGCTGGAAAAGAACGACAGGGCCGCCGTTGGTGATTTGGTACTTGGCGATGATATCACACACATGTGCCATGTAGCTATGTAACTCATCAGTCATTGCTTCCAACTTGCCGTGACAGTCATCCCCCTTCTTTCAAACAGACATGTCACATCCAAAGGAACTTACTTGTCCGTCGCATTCAAAAAGTCCGGCGCCTGAGACCTAAGAATCCCCTTCAACTGCTGCAAATATCCCGGGAAACCCCCTCCGCTAACCTCTGCGTTAATATACGGGCCCGGTCTCGCCAGCAAATATACGCCCGCCTTGGAGGCCGCTTCAAGGAACGGCTCCAGAGCGAAGATGCCATTCGCGCGAAACTCGCCCTGTTTCCCCTCGAGCAGCGCCCAGTCGACATAGAACGACACCATGTTGAAGCCGAGCGCCTTGATCTTCTCAAAGACGTCCAAGTACAACGACGGCACGGGGAGGCGGAACGGATGGACCTCGCCTGAGAACATCATGGCGCGTTCGCCGTGGATAAAGAGAGAGTGTTCATCCCAGGTAACGAAGTCCTGGAGGGCGCCAGAACGCCTATCTACCTCATGGATTATTTGGTAGGGCCGGCCGCCCAGATTGAGGGCATGGCAGAACGAGAGTGCGACGGCACCAAGAGCCGTAGATGGCCTCATTACCGGTGTTGGGGATACTACCACCAGCTTTTATTCTATTTTTATTTTTTATTTCTTTTCACAGAGCTCTACTATGGGCCGGGAGGAGAGAAGAGAAACAGATGAGGGATAATGGCCATTGTTTACTTATTTAAATACTAGGCTCTATTGCGCATAGACAGACACTGCTTGAATGACGGTGACAACGAGCACGACGCTAGCGTTGCAATGCGGGGACGCGAACGATGCGCAAGATGAGGAGTAACAAGGGGCCATCGGCTGTCAAGGGAGATTTGGAAGAGATGGCCCTGCAGGGCAGCTCGTCAGATGCAGCAGTCATCTGCCAGGAACACAGCCGTTTATGGCTGGAATGTGCGCACCATGAAATTTGTGATTGGAGCTGTCGCACCGGCCGTGACATCCCCATGAGAAATATGCCGAGAGGGGAGGGGATCGTCGGTGGTTTTGCAGATATGCCATGTGCCTACTCCGTAGAACTAGGTCAGGCGTCTCCCTTGGGCACCTGCATGGTTATTTATTTGTTTGTCGTCCATGCAACATAGTATTAGAGAGGAATGGTCGTGGTGAAATTGGTCGGGTTGACACACCGCGAGGTTTACCCAAGTATCCGAAGCACAGAGTCCACGATTTCGGTGATTTGGGGGGGGGGGGGGGGGGGGAGTGTGAAAATTAAAAATAAAAAA